GAAAAATTCTGGATGACGTATGGGCGCCATATTGGAGCTTTTTCAAATGAAATGGGAGTCATGTGATAACTTATGAAGCTCCCTCTGCGTACTCCATAAGTGGTGGGGTGTCAAAGTTGAGCGTATTTTGTCCACAAGATAGTGATTTTATATTCTAACATTATAAAGTATGCATAAGAAGTTTCAAAATGGAGTATCGCATAACCATTCCATTAAAAAAAGTTATCCAAAATGGCACTCAACCGCCGTTTTGAAACATTCAACCACGATTTTTACGCTAAGATATAGTATTATTTATTCATTAATTTCATCACCCAAAATTTCAGATTACCTACTAACATGACCCGTTTAAAAAAAATTGGGGGAAGGGGATTGAATAATAATCTGAGAAACGTGTGGAATACATAATATATATGGCGACATTGTTTAATATTCGGGAATAAGAAAAATTTTATGTTCGATTGATACGAACTATTTATAAATATTTTTGCGTCCATACAAAATAGTTCTTGAAAAGATCTTGTTGAGTTGTTTGAAATAAATTTATAATTTATATACCAACACAAACTCATTTGTATTCAACAAGTTCAAACAAAAAAGAATGGATGTATATTTGAGTTATCACTAAAGCTTGTTCTGGTGCATTAGGAAAAAATCTTGTTTTACTATTAACTGCATATTGGCTTTCTGGAAACAAAAATGTAAAACAGATTTAAAAATAAAGAATATTTTTCGAATAGTGTGTGTTTTTATACCATTTTTAATAAATCATACTTCATCTTACGATATTATTTTAAATAGGAAAGATTCTATTTTTATGAATGTGACGTGGATATCTTGCGGTTTCACCGTTGAGATTCATGTGGTGGTACCGCTTGCGTTTGGGCGGTTAAAAGTTATATATCAACTACAAAGACGATCACAATAACTCTCAATAATAAACAATTTATTATTATATGGAAATGAAGTACATACTGTCCGTACCATACATGTTTGAAGGTGTACACAGATTGTAAGCTCATACCCTTGTTTGTTTTAGCACTTAAAAATCATAGAATTATAGCCAATAGTTGAGGATTCTCAGAGTTCAGATCACTGTAAACATGATTTGGTACGAACAGCTATTAGGGAAAGTTCGGTTATCCAGGAAGCCTTTTACCAAAAAAGGCCGACCTGCCATAATGCTCACATGTCTGCAGTACTGTTACTCCAAATGCGCTGTCCATACTTAATGCTAGTCACTTATTGTTTCAAGCATATCTCACCTCTCACTCACACTAATGGGTGGTCGATAACTTCACGCCATTTTACATATACTCGTATATGTCAAATAATTTTCTGCACTCTATCATCATTGGAATTGGAAGAGAGCAATTATCATGTTCATTAAAAATATGCAAGGTGTTCTATTTGAGAAAATACCACTTTATTTAATAGCAGCTTTCAGTATACGAATAAGATATTGCATGAAAATCTCGATATTAGGCTCTATTACCTCCGCATACGGCCCCGTATATCGAGAACTAGCCGTTACGATCGATCGCTATGTAGAATTTCAGAATTTGTCTCTTCGGCTGTTTCAGTAAAAAAATTATTTTAGATACGTCACCGACGCTTCTAGTTATTTTATGTCGCAAAGTTGGTTTGATTTTCACATGGTCTTCACTGTCACTTCAGACCTGACATTCGCTTGAATTTGAAGGATTAATCCGATTTGAAAATAAATTTTGTAGTTTTCAAAAACATACCAAAGCATGGCCGAAGGGGAGCCAAAAGAGAAAACAGAAGATACTAAAAAAGTGGTGCACACATATCCTCTAATAAGGGTAAGTTATACTTCGTAAAATATTGATCCTTTCACGGACATGGTACGGACATCTCCGGCATAATGCCGGAATATACCCAAATAACCAGATTTAAAAAACAAGTTTGCCGCTATATTTTCAGCATTCAGATATGCCTGAAGAAACGAAAATAGAATCCATGGAGTTAGTTGTAACAGCCTGCGAGAAACATTCTTCAAATAATGAGGTAAGGACGTTAGAATAGGGGAGTATTTGAAAATATACATATTTACCAGCAATATAACTGTATCTGCAGAAAGTACACCAAGCCACAGATTATGACCCACTGTAAGTTGAAACCAGAATTTATGTGAGGATTTTCAGAAAATGATAGGTATATCACCTAAAAAACAGAACTTCGAAGATCGTCTCGACCATGGGAACAAAATAATGATTCAATTTTGAGGAAGTTGCGCATTTGTTAAAACATAATAACCAGGATTTGGCTTGGCATGTCTTGGAAAAACTTATTTACCATAAACAAATATTTTGGTCGGATTGGAGGTATTTTTTATTCGTTCTTTGCCTATACAGGTTTAGTTTTTTATAGTATAATAGTTGAAGTGCTACCATTTTTTCCCACCTCGCGCTTTAGCGGCAACCTGAAATGTTTGTAACATGTTTAAAAAACCTGTATAGGGGACTTTAGACTATCTCATAAAGATTCCACCAGTTCAGAGCACAAATCGCTAAGACTATTGTGTACACTTTGAAAAAAAACTAACAAATTTAACACGATATAAAATAGCTCATGTTAAAAGAATGATTTTTTTTTAAATATGATCTCAGGTTCTTAGCATCATCGCTTGTCAAAACCTATAATTTTTTTGAGCGCTATATTATATATAATAGTTGAAAGCATCTTCCCAGATTCTGGGAAAACTTAAAATTCTGACAGAACAGAAATGAAACTAAACAAGATACCTCGGCACTTCGACTGCAGATTGGCAGTTTGTGAATTACTCCATATAAGGGCATAGACATGGTGGAACAGTTCACCTCGCCACGCATCCCACTGCGATGCTTATTTTTCTACTTAACCATTTTTTTTTTGTATTCTGTGAGGTATAGTGCAAGTGACTATAGATAACTGAGTTGACTCAATGGTGGTTGATCAGCAATTAACTCTTTTGGATAGCAATGTCATAGTGACGGTAGCTACACCATCCGTATACCCAATGGTACCTTTCAAATTCTCTTCGAGAGGATTGAAACGCTGGACCTTAATAGTATAAATAAAAATACAACAGTGTATTTTGTTGCTCAAATTCGGTGCATCAGGTAGTCGCGTCTATGAACTGCAACAATGGCTTTCAACACCAACTTGCGCGTGAAGAAAGCTCTCCTGAAACGTGAAGCGATATGCAATCATACAACAATCGAATCAAAAGGTTAATTCTCGAAATGAGGGAGTATAGTAAGTGAGAGAAAGTAAGCGTACCTTTCGGAGAACTATAATCCTGAACACTGATACGAATAAATCGCGTCCAGCGACATGGTTGGGAGAAAAAATGGGGTAACCTCACCGTCGTCTATCAGTCTCATTTCTAAATATGAAATTAGCTTTGTGACAGAACGTTTAATATTATGAAGAACCTGGGAACACATTATTTTTACGATAATGGATCATTCTCCTGGGAGCATTCTATTCTACTGCGCACAAGAATTAGGGTCCAGGAATGTTGTAGATACGAGTATTTGTATCGTCAAGGTTCAGGCGTTTACTGAAGCATCATATGCTAAAATACAATTCGTCAAAGCAGTTCATATTATCAGGGCCATTGACGAAGTAGGTGAGGACGGAATCTTTGAAATAGAATTTGTTTCCGATGCAAGCTACCGAGATTATTACGAACGTAGTATAAAAGGTGTATACTCGGCGGCCATGTTGTTTCCAGTCGCTGGGGGGAAAGAAGCATTCCCCGTATGGCAACTTGCGCATATGTATAATCGCGGATGAATAAAATTAAGCTAACACTCACTAATACTGTGAATACAAAAGCCTGACGTATTATTTACTTTCAACTTTGCTTGACTAGCTCGACAGCTGAGGGTCACCGTATAGCTCCCTACTATAGATACCGATTATTACGCTTTGTGACAGTTTTTCAGCAGTCTTCCTGACCCTTCACATATTTGTAAAATTCATTGATCATCGTTCTATTTAATTGTACTTGTTTTACAGTAAACAAAAAAAATGATTTATTTATCAGATTATTTTTCATAAGTAGGCAAAAGTGATGAGAGCAAAAAAATTGAAAGAAAAAATGTGTATGATATTTTGTCGGCAACAGGTACAGTCTTCTTACTGATCCTTTGCAAATGAGAGAGTTACTGGAAAAACTTCCCGGGTGTTGAACTACCCCAGCAATAAAAATTATTCAGTTTTTTTAAGCATCCAATGCTCAATCACACATCTGTTCCATGACAGATCTCCTCGAGCTGTACTTTTGTGTATCCTCAACCTCATTCATTTTGCTAGCAGTACTTGCCCATCTCATTCAATATTTTAGCATCTCTGTTATAAAACCAGGCTGACGCTGACATCAGAAAATCATGAAACAAAATGCCATGTTGCCACATGAATAGTTGCTATCCTCCAAATCACAGTGTTGTAGCTGATACAGAATGGAAAGTGCGTTTCGAGTCACTACAAACATCGCTCAAAGCTTGGTCGCTAAGGTATCGCAACTCTACCCACCATGACGAAATGCTGTAATGCGCTTCGGTGGTGTAATGCATTACAAACGACTCAAGGGTTTTACTGAATATGTTTTTGGGGAATCTGACACTTCGGGCGGAAACCGCTGATAGAAAAGATCTATTCAGCTTTTCAGCCTGGGGATGGCTATAAATGCTTTTCCTGGTTGAAAAAAAACGTTGCAACTCAGCGACTCAAATTACAGAATTTGATTGTATAATGTATCCTGCAATATCATGTCTTCTGCTTTCAGGCAGCAGCAAGAATGATAAAAGAAGAAATGGACAAAAAATTTGGACCTCCATTCCACGTTGTAGTTGGTGAAGGCTTCGGTTTCGAGATATCTTACGAGTGTTCAAACTTACTCTATATGTTCTTTGGAGGAAATCTAGCCATATGTATTTGGAAATGTTAATGCGTCCGAAATGGTTTTATTTTTTATATTAAAAATAAAGTTGATAACAATATATTTTTATTGTATATATAAAACAATATAATTGTAAAGCTTTAGATATTATTAGTATACTAAGTGTTCTTCAGAAACAGAACTCAGTCAAGTAACAGAATACACCAAGTAATTATAAGGTTGATTCTCACTATACATTCCGTTTCCATTCCATATCAGTTTCGTAAACGTTCAGTACAATTTGATTGTATACACAGTATACCGTACGGATAATGTGCATACACATGCAATAGCCTGCTTTAAGCGAAGGCGAATATTTAATTTCAATAATTTGCGGAACGGTTACGGAATGGAAACGGAATGTATAGTGAGAACCAACCTTTAAGCAGCGTGTGTAAGTTTTTCTTGCTCTGTGACAACACGTTAATTTTATAAAAGCTATTTACTCATAACAACTTGGTAATGATAATATTCCCAGATCCTATAACAATTTGTCTAACCTGATAAAACAATGGTTCAAATACAGTTTTTTTCGCTAAAATACGCGGATTTTATACTACCGCACCACCAGAATCCTACAATCAAATATGATTGATTCCAGTTCGAATGTAGCTTTTTGGACAATTTTGCGGAAAGCTGTCGATAAAATACCATGATCGAACGTCTTTCTTCCTAAAAGGGCTTTAGCAAAATGTTAGTTTGAACTGCAAATGAACCATGGATTTATCAAGATCGATGAATTTATGGGATCTAAGTATATAAGATTATGTTAAATAAAAAAATAACATAATAGCAAAGAATATACACATATAAATGATAAAATTTACAAAACGAAAATTCGAAGCAATACAACAAATAAAAACTATAACATAGTGTACAACTGACAGACATAAAATGTAATAAAACTGTAGGTGGAATTCTTAATACAGGAAAGGAATCATTAATAAGATCAGTGCTCATATTTCTTTGCATCATTTCACACAACCAAAACTAGTTCGCGTTCTTATTGCATTTCAAATGTAGAAATTATAAATCTAAAATACTACTTAAAATATATATTGGCAAAACATAAAAAGTATCACAGACCTAGATTTTGTTCTTCATACGCTCCGACGCTACGACCCTGACAAACATAAAAAATTAAAACGATAATTTCAAAAGTAACCTTAGAACTTCATGTGGCCATCTGTTTTTAATTAATACTGTAATGGAAACAACTTACCTTCAAACATTGGATATAACTTCTAGGCCTACAGAACATGAGACAAAAACAAGTAAAAAAATCCAAATTCGACAACTTTTGCAGTAAGCTAAAAAATAATGAAATATACACCTTATGTAAAAATTCTATAAGAAACTTGAAAACTATATATTTTTTGTAACTCTGCTACTTTTTTAAGACGCTTCCTGTTTTTTTAAAAAATAGCCAATAATTTTGCATAATAATTATGTGTGTTCTACCAAGCAGGTTGAAGACAAGTACTGATAAAACATGTAAACATTATATAAACCAATATTCATTAATAACAGTAGTCAAAATTCTAATATAATGTTTTGAAAAACATTGAATGTAAATAGTGTAACAGAAAATAATTTACCAATTCTTATGTTTGTCAGTTGTCATAGCCGACCATTAAATGAAGCAAAGAAAAATGTTTCATAGAACTAGAAAACTATTGTTTTATCAATTATTAATACTTGAATGAGAATGGACCAAAAACTTATTTAACGGAATTGCACAATCCAAACTACCATCTGTTAAAACTTACTCGTACTAACGATTACTTGTGTTTTCAACATACTGAAGACATTATGTTCAAAGGACTACCTCGTTATACTACGTTCAGTCGTTTTGTTAAATAAACTTCGTCTTCTACTGGCCTGAAGAGTATTTCGTCACCACATCTTTTGTAATTTTGGCAAGTTGGAATGCTATATCTCTAATATTACCGAAGTGAACATCAACGTTTTTACTATCGTTGTTTATGTGTGAGTTTTGCAAGGCTTGACACTCTGGTTGTAACTTTGATACAAAATCTATCATTTGTTTCATCCTTTCAGCCTCAGTTTCCTAAAAATACCAAATAAAGTGACAATGATACGTTTAAGTGGTTAACAACCTAGATCAAAATGAAATGTGATCAAATGCAAATGTTTCGTAAAAATATGCCGTATAAGCCACAGAGACTGCGGAGATACTCAACGCCGGAAAAAAATTAGGAGAGACTGTATTTTGGCACACTAGTAGTAGTTAACAGTATTAAGATTATAAATCAGTACTATCCCACTTGAAATAGTTTAAACATATTATACTTTTATCTATATCCCGTAACAAAGGAGTTTCAGAAATGAATCTGAAGAAATTTATTATAGGAACCGTAGAAGTCTGGATATTTATAACTCATCAGATCCACTAAGATTTTGAAAAAGCATATGCGTCTTATAGATCAAAAATGTGTTTGCAAGATGGTTAGAGCGCACAAACTCACTATTAGCATTCCAAAAGTCTAACACCCCAACCTAAGAAATCCTCAATTTTCGGTATAACCAAAATACGAGTTTTTCTATGTGAGGTCATAAATTGTTTATACCCGATTCGAAGTCCATTTACGTCCCGGCACAACAAAGATGCAGCGCGGCAAACCGGCAGCCGCCTAAGCGTTGCAATAGCTATTGGTCATTCGGTCATAGAACTACGAACAAGTGCAGGATAGAACTCAGGCTCGGGGTATCGCCGGCACGCCGGCGCCGGCAGTTGCTGTTCATATTCGGTGCATACAGTGTTTATACGTTAGCATGTCGTCTACGGATACAGCAGAGGAAACTGAGAATATTTCACCCAATGCTTCCTTCAGCCATGCCTTCTCTTCAGTGATGCCTCCGCCCCGAAAACGTGACAAGAAGGAACGTCTGAATATTCAGGCAAAAGAAATTGTCCTTAACGTTTATAAGAGCGAAATTTTACAGCATCCTGAAATGGAAATTCATGATAATGAAAGACGAACAAAACAGGTACGTGTATCTAACCAATTCGTCATTTGTGTAAAAATCTTGTCAAGTAGACTGAATCTATGAGCCACGCTGAAAACTTAGGTATATCTGGTAGACTTGGAACCAACACCTGTTAAATACTCTGCTTGTATTATTATTAGTTTTCTTGAATATTATATGAAATAATTATTTCCAGGAAAAGGAAAACGATTTGTTATCTGTCACAATGGCAGTGAAGATGGCTTGTGCCCACTGCCCTATGGGCATTTGGGTCACAGAAAACGACCGACTACCGTGAAGAAATGGACGGGAGTTCATTTGAACGATGGTTTCAAGTAACGCTCCCAAGCTTGACGACAATGCCGTAATTGTACTTGATAATGCCGCATATCACACTAGAAAACTAGAAAAAATTCCCACAATGTCCACAATAAAGCCAGAAATTCAACAATGGCCCCTATCAAAAGACATTAGTTTCAATGAAAATATGGCCAAAGCAGAACTTATTTATCTAGTCAGGCAGCACAAATATAAATGTAATCTTAATGTTATTGACAAAATGGATAAAAACCAAAATAATACGGTTTTAAGGATACCCCCTTATTACTGCGAATTAAATATCATTGAAATGATTTTGGGAAATATAAAAAACGTGTGACAAACGTTCAAATTTTCCGAAGTGAAAATTCTGTTTTATGAAGTTGTCAACAGAGTGACGGCAAACCATTGGAAAGATTGCATCCGTCACGTTCAAGAGACAATCGAATCAAAGATGTGGGATCTGGACAATATGATTGATATTCAAATTGCACCTGTAACAATTAATATTAACCATTCGGACGATGACTCAAGTACTTCCAGCGAATAAAGAATTGTGACAAGTATGTGCACTTCTTTCTATAAAAATAATTATTCATTTTGTTAGATTATTCCAAGACCATTGAGAAAAATACGGACCTGTACAATCTCGCTTTTGGACTTGTATTTTGTCTGGGCGTTAATGGACTACGAATGGGGTATAGTATCTATGACCTTATGAAGATATGGGTTTTCCAATAATGAGCTTCTCACAGTCTCAAATGGTCATTTACAGCAGACTGTTTCAGTTCACTCCATAGCTAGACAACATCGTATAATTAAGTTGTCTGGACGACCGTATTTGACAGTCCCTAATAGTCAAAAACGCCTAGTTTGAACTGACTAAATATATGGTCAATTTGTCCATTTTACACAGAGGTATATGTAATTTTCTAGAGTTATCAAAAATAAACCTGATAATAGAGATTACATTGAAACAGTATGTAAAATGTGTGCGATGATAATAGGGTTTTATTAAATTTGTAATAATAGAGAGTTTTTTCAATTACAAATTCCGCACACTCTAATAACTTCTCAGATTTTTGATGTGAATGATTATAATCTTTTCTAGTACAGATACTCACTTTAGGTAGATGAGAAGCAAGTCGAATGATGGCCAATTTGACTCCCTCTGCGCTAGAAACACATTCCTCTTTTTCAGGATCTTGTATACACCTACATAAATGTTGAATGGTTCTAGTTATTTGTTCTGTGCATTGCAAGACAGTTTCTCGATCCTGCGATGAAACGTATGTGCTATGCATTGTGTTTCTTATTGAATCTCCATGTTTTAACTGTAAAACCAATAAATAATTATAGTTTCAAAACTGAAAAATAGAGAAGACTACCTGGTTTTTCATAACATGCCAATTAGGAACTTTACTGATGCCCTCTCGGGTTTCATACATGCTCGTCGGCCTCTGATTTCTTCTACTGTGCCTAAAGTCAACTTCGTCTGCAACACGTCCATTCTGAATTGAACCAGAGTCGGTCTAGAATGATGTATTAAACATTGAAGGGTATAGTAACTTCAGCGGATATACTCTGCTTTAACACAAACACATCTCATCAATCGCAAGATCTAAGTTGTTGTTAAGCCAAGAAATGGTCATTTGTATTATTGATATATTTAGTGGTTTGTCCATCTATCACTTCAAAATTATTTGCATTGTAGTTCAGCTATCATACTAGAGAATCGAATTGTTCAATCCGAAAGGCCTACCTCAGAAATATGTTCTAGGGACTCAAATCTGCTATCTCCATTGACCCTAGAAGAAGCTTTGGTTTGAGCAAGTTTGTTCTTGAGTATTGAATTCTCCGTTTGTAGAACCTTCACATACTGTCTCAACTTATAAACCTCATTTTTTAAGTCCGTGATGGTATTATCAGAATTTTTCAGCTGCTTTGTTAATTGTTCCAATATTTGATTCGTTTTACTCACACTATCCAAAGATATAATACTATCTTTGTTCGTATTATGTGAAGGGTCAGAATGTTGCGACTGTGGTGACAGTGTATTTGGGGATGTTGGTTTCTGAAACACAATATAGTTGATCATAAGATACTTTAAGGGTTAGTTGAGATACAAAATGGCTCAGCTATGTTAACTAATTCTTCTATTAGCCTAATGTATAGCAGACCTAGCAATGAATTTATTTATAACACTTTGCAGCTTTCTTAGAGCCGTAAAGGCTCGATATAGAATTTTTAAAACTGGTAAACCCGTCTATTTGCTCTGTAAGTTGATTCCTCGTGGAAACCAAATTACTCTAAATCTGCGGCACAATGATCTACTTTCCATTCCTATACATCGTACGTCGGTCTTTGAAAGGTCCTTTACTTATAATGCGGTCAAGGTATACAATTCTTTACCAGCTAATCTCTAAGAGCTTAAGTTTGCAGCGCTTCAAGAAGACAGTCAAGTTCCACTTTCTGGACTCAGCATATTGAGTGATAAATTCATTTTGCTGAACGATATCTTGTTCTTTTGTTTCTTTTCTTTGTATATGTTCATATTATATATTTACTCCTTTTTAATGCATTCCTTACAGCTACTGATTCATGTTGTTATGCTAATGTTTTGTGATGTCTGGTTGTAGTATGGTTGAGTGGTAGAGTAGCCATGGCTAAACTTCGCCATACTATGATCATCTTCTGAATAAAGTCATTATTATTATTATATAAAGTTCAATATCATACTTGTATAGAATTGGCAACTGGAAAAACGGTCAAATCTCGTTTACGCCTCGTCAAAAAAACACCAGCGCGCGACATCAAAATATTACAGAGTCGAGTGTTCATGTTTGTGTGGCGCGAGGTAAGTGAGAATTGAATAGACTTTAGCTAGTCGTGGTTAGGAAAGCAGTAGTGTATACCCTATTTTACGAGTATCCATCACGCTTTGACGTCTACTGAGGTGATCAGCTGGTCAGCAAGTGACATTTTTGTGTTAGTCTGCAACGTTGGCTATAATGAATCTAGCAAAAATGAACCTGTAGCGTACAAAGAACCAAAATAAAATATGGCTCTGTCTACCTGGCATTGGCGGATCTGTCGGAATTATGTGTCCTTTGCCGATATGGGGAATTTTTAAATATTACTAAATAACTAGCTGTCATTCTACCGTGATGTATACTCGTGAAATAGGGTATACATCTCATATCGTGTCATGCACTCTAGCATATTCAATGATAATCACGTTTCAATAATTAGCACCAACAAAAATGCTAAAAAGCAACCCAAAGAATAATAATTTTTATCCTTTTTGTTTGAAAACCTATTCTAATTCTGCGCTAAAAATATATACTATCTAGTTTAAACCTCACTTTTATGCTGTCCACTTACATATGGATTAGATCCGATTTCCAGTGTTTTTTAGCAAATGGGCACGTAAACGCAACTATAAAAAACTGTTTTTTGATGTTTTGCTTTGACGTTGACAATTTGTATCCCACTGCCAAACTAACAATGAAAATGTGAAACACATTTTGCCTTCATTTTCAGAAGCATTGTCAGTCTATCCAATTGATGCTTTTAGAATGATGGCGCAACACGTCTGCATTTTTATTGTAAAGCTTCTGGGTAAATGTGCCGAATTCATATATAAGTGTAGACATTCAATATTATTATTATTATTATTATTATTATTATACAATAGTGTCTAGTTATAGATGAAGCCAACTACAAGCCGTTATGAACTTGACTTCTTGCGCTCTCTTGTGATCTTTATCATTCAGGAACATCTCAAATGCACGTTGTGACTCTGGGTCATACATTATCAGTTTTTCACCATCCTCCATTGTCTGGTATCGGTTTAATGTGAGTTTAATAAAAAAACAAAAACGATGAAAAAACATTACCTAACAATCTTGACACATTGTGATTTTCGTTATCCAATTCCTATACCGTATTTTACGAGTATCCATCACGGTAGAATGACAGCCGATTATCTAGTAATATCTCAAAATTTCCCATATCAGCACAGGGCACATAATTCTGACGGATCCGTCAACGTCAGGTAGTCAGAGCCGTATTTTGTTTTGGTTTTATATGCGCTACAGATTCATTTTGTACTTGCTAACAGCTCTTTTATTTAGAAAAAACAGAAGGCTACAAACAAGTTTTACGAGATTTACACCTGATTCATTATTGCCAACGTTGCAGACTAACACAAAAATGTCACTTGCTGATCAGCTGTTCACGTCAGTAGACATCAAAGCGTTATGGATACTCATGAATTAGGGTATATTTTGGAGCGTATAACACCGAATAAAAAGCTAGTGCATGAGAGTGCAGGGGATTTCAAAAATGAGTAGTTCAGATGTGTGACACTATAGAGCAGTGGAATGGTGTTGACAGGTTCTGGGCAGCACCGAGTTAGTTCGAGTTACAGAAATGAGGCACTGGAAGGGTTCGGCGTTCATGTGTGGCACACAGACCGTTGCGTACATTGATACGATTACATCGACTCGACTCGTACGGGAAAACCGCGTGTAAGTGATTTTGGCATTCATGCAATGGCTCGCCAGTTCTCGATCCCTTCGATATCCGGATATGAATGAACAACATTGATGATAAAACAAAGCAAGATATTTGACATTGCAATCTCAATGGTCGCTTTCATCATGACAGACCAATGCGTTGAGATACTGTCATGACGACATGACTAGTGCTTAACTGCCTTTATAAGTGAAAATTGCAAAAGCATTAGGCCTCAATCAGTAGTCCAATGTATTCAAATGACTTAACTTTGGAAACACTCCAAACATTATAACCAGTACTTGCCTCTTCATCAGGAACTGAAGCATAATCTTCATCTGACGCTACCGAATCATATAAGGGATCGTCATCAACAGTTGACATTTCCCCGAATTGGGAAAAATGAGCTACAAAAACAAAAATTTCTTAAGCACTACAACATACATGTATCAAAAACTAATTACCATTATCGGACATCATCTGCCTTCTTTGTGTATCAACCAAATGTCATAGACTAAACTTTTGAACTCTGGAGTGGAAAATCTTGCTAACTTCTGCCTGCCTTGATTTCTGGTGGTAGAAAGCGTGTTATCTACTGGTAGAAATGGGACTCCGTTAAAGTCGGTGGTATCGCCACAGCTTAGCCAAACTATAACAGCAAAATATATATGCATCGATACTTCAACCACATAGACCGACAGTTTTACGAAAGGTTCATTTTGTGAGTATTCGGATACGTGAATTTGGGTTCCAAAATCCCCCCTCAACATATTAATATTCGAAATCGAATGAATTACATATATGGAGTGGATAAAGCTGTTGTCTTGAAATTCTGTGATACGGCAAAGGTTAGTATTACCCAAAAACCGACGTATCGACATTTGTTCAACTGGATTTTTGGAGCAGTATTCGAAATTCTTTCCATCTGATCATTTCATGGTGAGTACGAGTATAGAGATGACTAAAAAACAATGTTATCATTTTTTTTTGTCAAAATGCATTTTTGTGCAATTTTTTTTTTGTCAAAAATTTATTTTTTGTCCATTTTTTTTAAATCGTAAATCGTTAACGAATATCAATACAGCTTTAAAATTGTATGTCAAAATTCCACTTTTATAGTAGAATTGGTGAGAGGAGATGGCATATTCCTCATTAATCTAGGAGCAGCAACTAATGTGGTGTATGCCCTTATACGTATGTCCCGTCAGTTTGAACGCGAGGTACCTGTAGTATATAAAAAACCGGTCACGTGATCCAAATCGTGGTCGTTGGGCCAAATGAGACTTTTGACCAGATTGGTATGAAGAACAACATACTGAAATTTCCGCCAATTCGAGCATAATACATTTGCCAAAATAACGGATTCCGTGCTTTTGGGGTCTCCCATCAAGCCAAGCCCTGGACATGTATCCTTTGTGTCCCCAGGTTAGATGAATAGTGTTCATATTTAAATGACAAACTATGTAAATTATGAGCTAAACAGTTCATCAAAAGTGCAAAAATTGATACATAAATTTGTAGCAATGCAAAAGACCCCCACCTGGTTAATCATCCTGGGCAAAACCTCAAACTGTAACATGTCATACTTTATTGTTTGCATTTTTGCAAACCTGGTATCAAGTTTGTATTGTAAAATGAGCAACCAACATCAATTCGCTTCACTGTATACAAAACTATAAGCCTTACAAACCTTCCTAAATACTTGCATGCACACAATTAATAATGATGTAGAGTATGTATTCATCAAGTAATAAATCAACTCACAAGTGAATTCTAAGAAATTGAGTAAGATATAAAGTATTTTTACCGAGTAATATCAAATACACTGTTGCAAATAACTAATAGTGCACGAAATTCACTAATAACTAATACTTCCTACTAAAAAGTGAAAACGACACTAGTAGCGACCATAAAGTAGAGAAGCATACTAAGCAATAAAAAATCTTAACGAGTACTTACAGATCTCCTTGAATGCTCTGAGACACATAATAGCATGTAAATATTAACAGCTTGTGTATTGCATACTAAATAATTTAAACGTTTCCATCATATGGACTGTTAAGCGCACTTTAAAGCGGCGAGCGGACAGCGTCAGTTATTAGTCATGTAAATAACAATATGACATAATGTGCATCTATTAAAGATAGGCTATGAATTTTGATTTAATATTGCGTCATCTTTTATTTATTGAGAATATACAAAAATACTCACTTGCTTCCGTCTCCCGACGATCCACCTCATCGAATACATCCATTGCAAGTTCTTCAAAAAGGGTATTGTTTATCTAAAGTAATAAATATTCCTAATAATCCAGGTTCTCATCCACCACAAAATATAATAATAAAATAAAATAAAAATAAATAATACGTTAACTGATGCAAATTCTGTAGCTCATAATGAACAAGATTGAAAGTACGTCAAAATTATGATTCAAATTTCTTTTATTGTTAAGAATTAGCCGGATAAAAGGGGGTTTACTCGAATAAGTATGGCAAAGTGCGCTTGTGTTATCGCTGACGAAAAAGTTAAGTCAAAATCACTAAGGGCCGTATCGTCAGTCATTCCTACAATAATTGTAGGTGGCCTTCATGGCCTCTTTGATTTTCATAGTTTTTTCTCTCCTTCAGAAGGGCTGGGGTATTTCTAGATTCCTACTATTCCGTGTCAGCGTCAACGCTCTCCTATTATGAAGTTATGTTTTCTATTTGAATTGTAGGAAATTTCATCCTGATAAAACATGATATAAATCAAAAGCATAAACAATTTAATGCAAATATATATTGTGACATAACCTCAAAATAGAGCGCTGACACGGAACACTAGAAAGCTATGAAAGCCAAGGAGGCCATAAAGGCGTCCTAGAATTGTAGGAACTACTGACGATACGGCCCTAAGCGGCAATGACAAACTCGTATTTATATAGCATCTCTAAACGATTAACGTCTTTGGTCACCGAGTCAGGCTAAGATTTTTTTGTACAAATCGTCGTCGGTAAAGTGACATGAGTTTCACAGACTAATTTCATGGTTTTTGGTCTGCGTTGTTTTTATTGTCTTGATGCGTTGCAGGCGATCCACTATGGATGCAAAAAAAACATCCTGTTAGGTTAGTGTATTGTAAAGACAAGATAATAGCACCTCTCTAGATGCTGTCTTAATGCAAACTCGAGATTAGACACCTTTCTAGAACTCCTAGCGACTGAGCTAAAGAATTTTCTTCATCTTTCCACATGAAAGGAAACAACGTGTATGCTGAACTTAAGAATTTAACGTTTTATGGCCACTATATCACAAAAATAGGTCACCTATCTCTTTTGATGTGTCTGCAAGTTTGTAAATCTGTCCATAGTTTTTATCACAGTAAATTTGTGTATTCACTTTTTCAATTTTTTCCTACACATGCGTTGTCCTAAATTGCAAACAATATATTACTTGCTTAATTGAAGATAAATCTTTCTGGTGCATACCAATTACGAACCAAATGAATTGGAATTTCAGAACATAGCAAATGCATTACCTTTTGAAGCTTTGAGAGGCACACAGAATTGGACTTGAAACCAGTTTGTGGGATGTAAAAATGCATTCCACTATTGTGATCTGGTTTATGCAGCGATAAGTAATAACTAAAAGTATCTGTTACTTCATACTGGTTTTCTATTAATCTGCTGAGCAAATCCCTGTTATTGAATTTTCTGAAATAAAGAACCTCGTTCAATATGGTAGAAAAATGCAAAAAATAATGAGTATATTATGAAATATTTGGGCTTACTACCAAAAAAACAAAGATCCAAATTATTATTAGATGTATCATTTAAGGTTATAAATTTATTCAGCATTGATGCTACAACAGCAATTTTCATATAATTTAAAGTTGTTATGGCAACTATGATTTTCAAATATATTTATGTACTCATTTAACATAGTTTTTTACTACAAAAGAACATTGAAAGATGATCACCTTGCATATCAAGTGCTGTTTTGCCCTGATTATCAGGGTAGGAAGGGTCAGCCCCATGTACTAACAACAATTCTACCTGAAGCTTTTGGTCTGACTTTATCGCAATATGCAAGGGTGTTGACCCTTTCTCCTACAAATAAAAATATGTATAATGCAGAAATTTATAGGGGTCCTTGGCAATTATTGACCTTTATCATCATTGAGGAGACTAAACATTTCAGCCATGAAGCACATTTAGATGTGACCCAAGTAACCTTTAAAAGTTTCACCTATAAGGTGATCTATGCATAGATGACTTTTTCTTGCATAATGACAAGTCATATAATGTCAAATGATCCACAAGGTCAACAATGTTTTTCTATCCATTTAGTTTTCTGCCATAAACAAATATAAGCTAAACAGCAAAACAAAATGTATAGTCACAATCTACTACCATAATCCATTTTGAAAACAGGGTCCCTAGGCAGCAAAGTCAAATTCTGATACAATTCCACTAAAACCGTTATAAACTGATGATACTTTTGAGATGACAATTGTATTTATCATATATATTTTTTCTTAATGGAAATATGTACAAATTATTTGGACCATGGTAGTTTGCCTACTTTAATGCATTCCAGAATTTCTGATCTGGTACCCCTTCTAATTATGTATGGTAATATTGCCTTGTAAATGGATTATTTCTGTTAGGTAATAAATGTTATTATTATTATAACACAATATTCAGTTTGAATTATTGCACAACATTTCTGCAACACAAAAAGGTCACCCTAAATAACGTGATTTCAATAAACAAAACAAAAAAACAAATGAGAAAAATGATTAAGGCTAGATAAAATGTAAGTCTCCTCTAGTTAATTAGTAGTAATTGTTAATACATCATGGAAGTAGTTTGGATCTGCTCCCAATGCTAACAGCCTAAAAGAGGTCTCCAGGTTAGCTGTGCGTACACTTGCATGGAGCTGTTTTCCCAGCTCATTTCCACACTATACAAACCATCTTCATAGCTTTCACGAAATGCAAATGCACACTGCACATGTTTCATCTTGATATATTCCTGTTTGATACTGAAAGAAAGTTACATGTTTATAAATTATGCTGCTTATAAAAGATCAAAGATAAAGCTAAAACTTACACCTAACCTCCTAAAAGCCTTATTTTAGAATCTTAATATACCTGAGTTTCAAAGGTACAAATTATCATAAAAACTTCTGTAATAAAAAGGTATTCCGCCATACTCCAAAATGCAATTACTTGTATATCAAAGTGAATTAAGCCAATCAATCCAATTGCTGTCAAAAACAACAGTGGGTTCTTCGTCGGCTTTTTCTAAGAGACCATTTTCTTGCGAATAATTTGTTATACTACTCATACTCTTGTTTTGTTTTCACTATTTTTTCTGATATAATTGAAAGAAACGATCATACCTTACAACAAATACTACGTATCTATATTCGGTATACTATGCACTAAGTCCTATTATTCTAATAACTGTGACACACAATTGAAGGTGTTGGTAGGGTTACTTCAACAAATACCTAATCTAGGTTATTAAAATACTGTCAGTTTTAAAAATTTATTTGTTACGTAGTTAATTACAATGGAAAAGCTATACTAGAAACGAGAAAATTGACATGCTGTAATTTACGGGAAGCAAGAAAACTGAAGTAGCTCTAATTTATTCTCAGAGATTCCCCCAATCGTCGCCATCCCATCAGGCATTATTTTTTAAAAACTGAATCAGAAAATGCGAAATGAACCAGAAGGAAATGCCAATAACTTTATCCACAGTAAAGAAAAAGAAATAGACGTGTTGACCTACCATATGTTGAAGTAAATTGTACAACGTCAATTCGGCAAATTGTTTTTAGAATATGACAAACATAAGTTATTCATCCTTTGAAGAATTCTTTGCTAATGTAGATATTGAGCATTTCAAGAACCAATTACACCAACTTCTTTACGTTGACGACCACAACCGAAAGATTAACTTATTGAAACTGGTTTTTGACTAAATACAGAAATGTACGTTTTCCGTTCAAAATTATTTGTTCAGACGAAGTCGGTTTACCAGCTTGGGTATGTTCAATCAGAATAATAAAAGATACTGGGTCACAAACAAACTTACATCTAATGCCAATAAGGAAATTTTCAAGAGTGATTTGGTTTTGCTGGATGGGTATTAGTGGAGCAAAACTTTTTAGGCCAATAATTTTCGATGGACAACTTACTGCAGAAAGATATCTACAGTTACTAAATAATGAAATAAATGGTTTCATGAAGATTTGCTACTGGCTACCAAGTTGATAACTATTTCAAAAAGTTGGGTCTCCACCTCACAATTCTCATGTGGCAAGAGAACATCTGAATGAGTACCTTCCAGAAAAGTGTATTGGCACTAACTGCACCTGTTCAATAGCCTCTGAGGTACATCCTCAAGTTGTCATATTTTTTTGGAACGTCTAATTTGTTTTCATATTTTAGATCACCCGATCTTCCTCCACTAGATTTTTTCTTTGTGGGACAATTAAAATCAGTTCTATAAAACTATGTCAGCTACTTACGAAGAACTGGAGCATAAAGTAATGGCGTCATTCCAAATCATCACTGCGGAACAGTTCATCAACATGGTGCAAGTAACAATTGATAAAGTTGAACTTTGCCATGATCAAGGAGGAGGCCGTTCTCAACACTTAGAACCTTAATCGCACATTCTTGAAGTTATTTTTTGTTATCATAATGATAGGATATGTATTTAGTTCATTTGTATAGTTTACTCCAACATAGGTCATCACATCTATTTCTTTTTCTTGATTGATAAAGTTATTTGCATTTTATTATGGTTTGTGCACATTGTGTATTTCAAAAGTACACCTTCAATTGTTTGGCACAAATAACTTGAATAATAGAACTTAGTGCATAGGTATACCCAATGCAGATCATATTCTATGTTGTTAGGCATGATCATTTCTTACATTTATTGTTCAGATAAATAGTGAAAATAAAACAAGTCTGTAGTGTCAAATAATTCGTTAGAAAATGATCGCTTAGAAAAAACTGACGAGCCACCAATCTTTAAAACGACTGTAAGGTTGTTAGCCCCAAAATCATATTTCTCGTGTTACTTGATCAAAAATGAAGCAATTTACATAGCATTCAACATCAAAAAATAAAAATTGAAATAAAAATTACTTTATTATGGAAACTAGCATAATGCTAGCCAAGCCTGGGACCATATAAGAACTACAGACCCCTAAATTACAGGGCCCCAGAGCAGAGAAAATGTGTTTAGAGAAATATTAGCTACAATCCTGGACCTAGCATAAAAATTGGATTAGTACTTCAAATTTGGAGTGCCTTAGCTTGCGTTTATGGCTTCTTCGAAATAAGGCAAGTTTTCTATAACAATGTTCTTACTTGATGGAATCTTTTGCTGTGGGTTTCTTCTTCATTAGCTTAGATCCATTTTCAAACAATGCATGTTCCCATATATTATTTGCACCATTGTTATTCAACGCATAAACCATCTGCAAATGATAAAATCTATTGTCTAGAATCAAATAACCATCTTTCATTATAAAAACCTACATTCAGCTGATTGGGGTGCCATGACCCCTTCAGCAAAGACTTCACTTGAGAAATGTGTCTTCCGAGGCTACGGTGGATGCTACAGCACGGCGTGCATAATAAAATGCCTTTATTCACTGAGGCCCAAGTGGCATCTACAAATAGGATAGTTAATTGACTGAATTTTATAGTTAATTAGCATGGAAATAGGATACTCACCTAAGGCTCCACAATCACCGCACACCTCCAAATTTTGTTTGGGTTTTGCACGTGACATTTTTCCACCCTTCTAGCACAAACGATGGTGAATCACAAAATTATAAAAACAGATTAAGTCATAAAATAAACAAGAGAACTAAATACCTACTACACTTTACGCCATTTTTCGGCTATGCTAAACTACACTAAACTACAAAACGTCAAAACATAGTACACGGTACAGCCAGAGTTGCCAGATTCGTCTGGAGAAATAATCGTACAGACGCGTCGGAATTATCGTACATAGTGCCGTAGGTCTCAGCCTTCATGTTCACAGAGGGAGGTGCGCTCCAATGCCTGTGTAAAAAGCAAGGGCGGAGATGTGCGAACGTAATTGTTGGATTCCGCAAAATTACACTGTTCGGCATTCTGCAATTTTTTGTCGCTCCCCGAAATTTTTCGGGTTTGTTGCGTCTACTGTATTGTACTGAAATCTAATATGCAATCAGCTTCTCCCAGCACCTACAAATTTTTAGACAGACAAGAGAGAATATAAAATATCAAAATTCCAAATTATCAGCGATCAAGTGGTGAATTTTTAAAAATTGAAAAAAATTAAAATCCACTTTTTTAGGAAAGCTACTGGTTATTGTATAAAAAACAATCAAACAATTTATTTAGTTGTCTTTTTTCGTTTGTATTAGCCGGGAGCGATTTCACGTTTAATGGCCCAGCAGTGGACCGCTAGCATGTTTGGGGTCCATTTTCCACTATAGCGTTTCTCCATCTAAGCAAATGATGAACTCTTCCGCCATGCTCGTCTGAAACTGCACCCAAATTGTCACGGAAGAATTCTAAATGGGAGTGACGAAAATGCAGTTAAGTGACATATTGCAACTTAAGGCCTTTTAAGATTGGATAAGTTCTTCAAGTAGATCTTTGTAGTTGTCTGACTGTTTATTGCCTAGGAAGTTGCTACATACATTTGTGAAGGTATCCCATGACCCTTTTTCCTTTCTCGAAAGTGTTTTAAAATGTTGGTCCTTAAAACGTTCTCGTATTCGGGGTCCAACGAAAACTCCTTCTTTAAGCTTTACTTTACTTATACGCTGGAATTTCCGTCTCAACTAAAGGAATGCATTTCCTTCTATATCTAAGGCTTTCACGAAAATTTGTATAAGCCCTAGTTTTATGTGCAGAGGAGGTAAATAAACTTTCTGCTGATCTAATAAAGGTTCATCAAGGACATTTTTCTGTCCAGGCACAACGTTCTCACGTAACGGCCAATGTTTAATATTGATTTCTGTATCTGCTGTCCCATTCACATAAAAAACAATAATATTTTGTGAAGCAACTCTGCAGTCCTGTGAGCAATGCAATAACTTTGAGATCGGCACTGATATTCCACTTATGATCTTCGTATTTTATGCTTTGGAGTAATATGCGCATGTTCTACTATGTTTCTTTCATATTTACAGCATGACCAACGGGAACCAATGGCCTTTCGTTTTTTGAACAAAACTGCCTTTAGACTTGTGTTCGAAGAGTCAATAAATAGTCGCCACTTCGGTAGGTACATAGGAAATACCAAGTTCATTCAGTAAGCCCGGAATATCATGACAGTAAACGTTTTCCATCGAGAAAAATACGGCCAGCATAGACTGCCTATTCCGAAACGTGGAAATTTTCACACCTGTTTGTAAACGGTTCCATTGCCGCAAACGAGATCCAAGTAGTTGTGCTTTTCTTTTGGGAAGATCTAAGGCCCGTATAGTTTTCTGCTTCTCCGTGTCAGAACTCTATTTTGAGGTTATGTCACAAACATCTATTTGCAACAAATTGTGCTTGCTTTGAATTATATCATGTTTTCTCAGCCTGAAATTTCCT